CACATCATCTTGGTCTTCATATCTATTATCTGATATCCGATACCTAACAAGTGAGGAGAAAAGTATTAGACCTAAGAAGCTTAAAATACCAATCGTTATTCGCTTCTCCGATTGAATAAGACAATTAAACCTAATAACTATCATAAGAGTAATGTTAAGAGCAATACTAATAATGGCGATATCATTATTTATTTAGAGACCAGTTATGTTTATTCAATTTCCTTTCATTCATACTTAGCTGTCTAATATTGCAGGTAGGTTGATACTTAAGAACCCATAGATAAGAGATGACACTAAGCCTACACAAATTTCCCTTTAATTTTAACTAGATGGAGGAAGACGATCTTGAATGTGTAGGTCAAATATGATAACTTTGTTAATTAAACTAGAAGATAATCATCAAGCTGTACTCTTTTAAAGAAAGAACTAGCGTAGTCTCACTAAATTTTACTAAAATTGAGATTTAAGATGCAACAAAACTTGGTGGCTAAATCGTTAAGAAGGGATATTGTAAATTATTAAGGTGGATGAAGTTAGCAGGGTAAATAAAGGATGATCAAAGATAAAAAGAAAAGAGATTATGGGATTTTAGTGGGTCAAATGTTAGTGAGAAATAGGATAATAGTGGTAATATGCAGAACAAATGGACCTACCCTCTCTGCTTCCGCTTTCTCTTCCGCCTCTTCGGCTAGCTTTCGATTTCTAATTGCTTCATCTTCTAACTTTCTCTGTTGTTCTCTATAGCGCTCTTCTGCTTCTCGTTCCTCTCTGCGGCGCTCCTTCTCCACTAACTTAGCAGCTTTTTTTGTGCCAACCTTCTTTTTTGTCGGCTCTGTAGCTTCACTTTCAGAACCTTCGATTCCTTCTCTACCTTCTTTGTCTGTGGTGGCTCGAACTAAATCATTGATTGATCCAGATGACCCACTGTCGACACGCATGCGGGTGGCAAGACGAGCATGGCGATAGGCATCAGCTACGTTACGACGTCGAGCACCACCAATGTTCTGAGCAGGTACTGCAGTCTTGATGCGTCCAGATGGCTTGGCTAAAAAAAGATATAGGGAGTTTACCCTATGACAGTACCTTACATCACTTAAAATCAATCCCAAATGCGAGACTAATCAAAGTAATTTTAACATAAATTTTCGCCGCTAAAACTGTTTGGAAGTGTTTATTTAAAATGTATTCAAAGTAAATAAAAAGACACAGCACTTTAAATATGCTCAATGCAGCGTTCATCAGAAGAAATTTAGTATTTTAAAAGGAAGGCTGGGTCATTGGCGATTTAAGGCCTAATAGATGACACACCGACAACGAACTAACAGCTCACAGTTTTCTATTAAATTGCATCAATACTTCCTTGCAAAAATATGAACCAAAGCAATATTCGAAAGCAAATAGTTCGCATCAAGTAGC